CAGCGGCTCACTCTCACCAGCTGCACCGCTTTCAGTGAAAAACCCACACCACAGAAACCACATAAAATGAGTAAAAGGATGGGAATGTTTTCGCTTATGTCAGTAAAGTTCATTTCTGATTAACAACTTGCACACCTCTGCTAAACGAGAAACGACGTCAGATTTTGAACCCTAACTTAAATGAACATGAAAGAATAGTATTTGCGCACTTTACTTTAAGAATAGAAAAGATCGGATTGAAAGGTTTATCTTTAAAAAAACACACGTTTATAGTTATTTTAAATACAATTCAGAAAAATATCATTCTTTTTAGTCAAACTGAAAACATCAAGCGTTCTATATACCTATATTGTCAGTTTTATAAATCTAAGACGATGTTGAATTGCTCATGTTTAGATATTAAAAATGGACATGCTACTAGTATCCACTAAGTTGTTAAGACAATGGGACCGTCAAATAATAAATGCTAATGCTACATTTTCAACTTGCGCTCTATCAGCTTTTACGTGTGACAGCACATAATTGTAAAAATCAAAATTTTGATAAAACGTGCAAGGATAAATATTTTAAAAGCGTTTTTAATCAAAACAAGGGTAAAGGCTTGAACACTAAATTTTTAACCTCGCATATTCACTATTATAAAGGAAGGAGATTTAACATACGCTGCTGAAGTGCGCAGAACTTGATTATACCAATTTAAACAATGCAAAGTCTATTTGCTTTTCTTCTTTATTACTAGGCAATAGATCTGCTTCATAGTGATTTAACTTTAAGCCACCCTCTGCTGATTTCCCCCTAAAGTTGCAGCGTAGACATTCTCTCCCAGACGAAATAAAGAACTACTTTTGAGATCAATCTCATTGCTTTCCTAAACTATTTAAAAGTTTGGATTCCGTCTCATAGATTTATCACTTTAACCAATCCTGCGAAATCCGTACCACGTAGGCAAATTTGTTTTTTATTATTAAAACTCAACATTCAGAGGACAAGTAGCGTTATGAGACGTCATAAATGATTCTCTTAATTCATGATGAGACAATATCAAAGGAATGGAATTAAGCTAACGAGTTTTTGATGGGAATAACGCGTGTGCATTATAAGTGCAACCTGTGTATACGACCCAGGTGATCTTCCATTTTTACCTCTTTTTAAACTGTCATCTTGTCAAATCGAATGAATTTGGTTTTTTCAAAGCCATTGTAAAAGTTTTGCAAACCTATTATTTCTTGATAAATTTCGGATAAAAAGTATTTAAGTTTCATGATTTAAGTGCACAACTAACCACTAGAAGTATTTTTTTGGCTTTTGCAGCACCACGATTTTATCGCAACTTTCACTGTACCACTAGCCTTTCCTTTATGATGTCGGTTTCTGATAAATTGGATGCTTACCAAAATGCAGGACCTCAACAAAGGTATTTAAATTTAGGTCGTACACACCAGAAGCACCGAGTAATGGAAACGTCCCTGCGTATTAAATGATACAGTAAATTTTCGTCTGTGACTTGTGAAATAAACATGAAATGTATTAGTTACCTTAATCAAAACAGGCATACTACTATAACATATCTACCGGTGTATTGATAGTAGTACTTTAGTAGATATTTAGCAGATTTTACAATAGAGGACGCAGCACTGCGTCGTTCTGCCTGGCTGGTCTTTATTTACTGTGCCACAAGTTATATATATTGCAAAATATTATCAAACTGAAGTCAACAAGTACTTGTATTTCCAAATGCTCCTAATGATATTGTTTTAATGCTTGATTAGTAATAAATCAACCCAATTGAAATTTATTTTTATTCATGAATGCAATGCGATGCAATAATATGGATGAATATATGGTCACTGATAGCATAGAATGATTTGTTCGATATTTAGCAAAGAATGTGATTGCCAGTGGTAGTATTTGAATAATCAACTATTTAAGAAGTTCACAAAATTATTGAAATGAAATAGCAACGTACATCACTTGATCAGAGTAGATAGAAGGCCC